TGTATACTGTGATCTACGTATATTATGCTCTAAAACAGCACCGTCACACAGTATCCGTAGTGCTCACATGTTATTGTAGACATGACCAGGGTTTAACGTGATCTGCAAGAAGAGCACCGTCTTACCCGGGAAGTTTTTGTCTATAATCTCGTTTGAGCGCATTGCTCCCAAAATGACACGAATCGGAGGCGCGCGTGGTTGCAAAGCTAATATATACTGTACGGAAGACGGGTCAGTATCAATGATGCTACGAAATATACGTTGATCGGTGAGGAATCCCAGTGTAGCTAGAGTAAGTACGCCTACTCAAACGTATTTTACCCATCTGCACGTCATCGCCGTGAGGCAGTCGACACATATCACCGATTGCGACGGTCGAATAGAGCAATGTTAATCAGCTCCGCGCGCGAAGTATCTTTTAGGATAGGTAGTATATGCCGATGGCGCCACAAACATCAATATTATGCTTTGAAATTATTCTGCTGAGCTGTTTGTGATGTTAATGAGGGGTATTTCCACTATCTTCCGCATGCATTGATCTTACTTGCATAGCTGACGTACTTTCTGACTTATTTGTATAGCTTCTGACTGACAGAGTGGCATAAATCCTTTCCGACTGACATTATACTGGGTCCGATATGTACGACAAAAGGCCTCGTCCAGATCGGACGAAGAGGCACCACTGCGTGCACATTCTTTTGACCGGCTGCAACATACGAAGATATATGGCTGTAGGCAGAGTATCAGATCGTAGTGATGGTTAGACTTGAATTGAATAATAGCTCATGTACATTAGATGGAGTACTTTCGCTGCCTACTTACCAGCTCGGCGTGCTATTTGATGTGTCCGTGCATATAGCACGAGGTCGTTAATGAGTGTATTTGCCACGCGCTCGTGATACTTAACCTATGCATGGGGTCCCTGCTTTCTTATCGGTACTTTTGCATCGTGGTGCTAGCTTTCTGCGCCTACGCTTCTGATGGATCAGTCTATATGCCCAAGCGCGCCACTTACTGGACGTAGGTCATAACCGCGGTGATATAGGCAAGCTGACCGCGCGTATGTAGGTAGTAGTCAACGCGAAATATGCGCGCGGCGGGTACATCTTATAATCATTCGCGACTCAACCGGACTCTCGTCTCGACCATTATACACAGGAAACTAAAATACAGTACTGCGTACAGGCACATCGACTTGCGACGACACCTGTATGGTCAACACTACCATAGACGTGCTTGTGTCCATGTAGGACAGCAGCATATTCATCGCGCATAGTGCTCACTCAATACTGAAGCTTACATTCGTGAGCGCCACATTAGTGGAAATATAAACTTGTGGAGGGTTGGTGGGG